CTGACTAAATGATAACACAAGGTTGAACTTGTATAGTTCACGTGGAGTGCGCTGCGCAGATAGAGATATCAGGAGAGTCCCGAACTGAACGGGAAATCTCCTGGAGATGATTGAAGGAGAGCGAAGGAGGATTGAGCCCCCGTACGCTAAGAGCACCTGAATGATCACGGGGTTTTTGAAACCCTGGACAAAACTTCACGAGGAGCTCTGATACTGCCTCGCGATCGTTATCCTCGATGATTATTGATTGTCTCTCGTGTCCGCTGCTGTCGCCGCTGTCGCCACTGTGTCAACCACAGTGTTTCCAACGTCTCCCGACCGGCTGTCAGTGAAACAGCTGATGCGGAGCAGCTGATGTTCAGCTCTGGAGAGACCAGCGCTGCGCCGGTTGACGTACCTAGGTGGCGGCGCACTCCTCGGGGATTTATTCTGGTTCAAACAGGACTGCTCGTCCTGGACGGGTATTATGGATAAATAATTACACAATGATTGAGATGCTGAAAGGTCCCCACGGTTAGACTCGATCTCCGCTGTGCTTGTTGTGTGCTGATTGTTTTGTGTAGTGTATGTGTGTGTCGTGAACGTGTGCAAGCTTAGAGACGCGACGGCAGCTCCGTCCGTGACAAGATCAAAATAGCATGTCTTTTATACTAAACAATAGCGGGGGAAAGAGTGGTGACTGGAGCGGAGAGCACTCGAGATCAAGTGAAAAACCCAAGGATGAACGACCGAAAAACTACGAAACACGGTCCGGGTCTCTCCCCTTCAAACCATGAAACTGACCCATGTCCGAATGAATCCAAACAACGCATGTCCTACTAATTAAACTCGAACAAAGTCCCCTGAGCGAGCAGATCGTTCGGAGAACGGTTTTCTAACAAAGCCACCCCAAACCGCATGGCCAAATTAAAAGACCATTTGGAGCAGATCGGGCGGGGTGCGCTTGGTGACGAATGTCGGATTGGACGGACTGCCTGGGGGCGAGTGCTCACGAGGGTTGGGTACACTGGACCAGTGAGAAACAATCATCAGTGTAAGCTACTACCAGTGAAATACCCGAAAACCGACAAACACCATAGAAAACGATCCAAATTAAGTCTCATAATACCAATTTTTATTAATACAAAAGCTAACGGTGCCGAGAGCCGAAGTGATCTTGTCAAGGGAGCTTGATCGCACCCGGGTGGCCTTAAGCACACCACGGGGTTGAACAGTGGCTCCCTGATATCTGAGAACGCACGCGTTCTCCACCACGCTGAAGCACACTTGGTGCCGTTCCAAACTTCGACACGTCATGGTCGACAAACGAAAATTCTTAACCTCCTCAGCCGGCAAAAGCCGACTGAGGAGCCCAGTCTCCACGAGCGTCGACAGTACTGAGGACATGGTGGTGATGTCCTCACGAGTTGAGCTCGCCCCGTTGACGGCCAGTTCAACTTCTGCGAAAATGAAAAATCCACAATTAAAAAAAAATACACCATTTATTGCATTAGGATATTAAAAATAGCAAGTAGAAATTTATACAGATAGGTCAGTAACACAGCATTACCGACGGCAGCCTGCAACTTGATGCAGGCATACACGAGCACGGCGACGAATAGCGTTGCCGTAACCTTCCCAAGGAACATCAGCTTCCTTGCAAACCGTCCTCGTTTCTTCCTTTGGAGTCTCCTCCGTTGGGGAACTTCTTCAACGTCCCCGTCGGGACACGACCGGTCCGCTTGATCCCGTGTCTGGCGTCCTGTAGAAACCGGTTCCAGACTTATCTCGTCGTTCTCTCCGGGATCCTCGTCATTGAATTGCACCCAGGGGATGTGTGCAGTTTCCCTCGCGCTTCGAACATCAAAGTGGGTGGTCGTACCCATTTTCCGGCGCCTGGTCCGACGCAGACTTTCGCAACGTTTAGCACAACAGCAGTTGCGGCACTTTACTCGTCGTCCCTTGGAGTGCCGAAGGCTGCCTCTTTCGCTTCCTCCTGTGGATGGTCGGCGTCTTCTGCGGGAACGAGTGCTGGTCCTTCTTTGATCGGCGGATTTCAATCCGAGTAGTTGCAGGATTTTCAGCATGGGGAATGCTCTTCGTTGCTACGAACGATTGTCAAGGGAAATCGATCCCCTTTTATACTAAGTATCCAAGTACGTCACTAGACAAAAAAGTTAGACCTAAATTTTCTCAACGAGACCTGCGAAAATTAAAACAGAAAACACATAGATAATCAGAGAATAAGATAAGAGATTTATTCTACAGTCTATAAGTGTACAAGAACCAATTTTAATCAGAAAAACCTGTTAAACAAAACTAGAATCAGATCGACTTCATTGTTAGGATACGGAGATAAGCCAAGTAGAATTTTTACAATCATTCATGACTCCCTCTACTTTTGATAATTTCATCAAGAATATCGCTCTGTACACGCTCATAGGGCACAGTAACGTTTGTCAACGATCTACCATGGGGTCTCAGAAGACAAATCTTATCTCTCGGTGATAGACAGATCACTCCGAGACGTTTCCGCGAACACTCAAAGTCTACGAGCGGAATCCTATCACGGGATCGTTCATCGATCACCACTC